ATCAATCAATCAATCAATCAATCAATCAATCAATCAATCAATCAATCAATATCAATCAATCAATCAATCAACCAATCAATCAATCAACCAATCAATCAATATCAATCAGTAAATCAATCAGTCAATCAGATTTATTTTCTAAAGCACTTTTCGAGCAAACTGCTACTCAAAGTGCTTTAGAAAATGACCCCAAATTCCCAGTTTAAACAGTTTAAAAACATTAACAGACATATGCGCGCACACACACACACACACACACACACACACACACACACACACACACACACACACACACACACACACACACACACACACACACACACACACACACACACTGGCTGAGTCCAGATGAGCCAAGTAAGGTAAGGTAAGGAAACGCCATCAGAGGAGCCGTCTGCCCCGGCAGCATCATGTCTTCCACACTAAGTCAGGGCGTTCAGTGGAGGGGGAGCATAGACCCCCACCTCCACTTAAACACTACCTATATAGAGCACCCAGGAAGCTACAGTCGACCACCGCTCCCGGGGCAGAGGGCCCCTCCAATCTCCAGCAGCCAGCTCTAACAGGTTTCTGCTCTTACACACAGACATCTTCTGCAAGTTCAACCAGACGTGCACCTTACAGTGCTCGTTTACACCTGGTGATGAGGTCGTCATCCACTGGGTTCAGCAAACAGCGGCCAACGCTCAGGCCCACTCCTACTACTACGACCGCGACCAGCTGACCCTGCAGAACCCACGGTTTAAAGGCAGAACCTCCATGTTTGGGGACCAGATCTCCAGAGGAAACGCTTCACTACAGCTGACAAACGTCCAAGTTCAGGATGAGGGCAGATATCAGTGTTACGCCAGCACCATCACTGGAAAAAAGGAGGTATTCATCCAGCTGCACGTCTACGGTATGAACTCTCACCTTATAACTCACATCCTGGTCGGATCATTTAGGTTTAATCATTTCTGTGTGACTAAAGGTTCGTAACGTGGATCAGGAACACTCCCTGGGTTAACTCCCTGAGCGGGACCGTCTGCATTGCTACTAAAATATGTTGGAGACATTAAAGTGTTTAGACTAAAACTAGTTGAAGCTGTGATAAAACTTATAAAAAGTTATTCTCTGATAAGAAAACATCATGAAAACTAAATTAATCTGTAATAGAATGTGGTTGATCACGGCAACCTGTAGTTTATGGTAGCTCAGAGTTACGATGGGAATGCTGGGAATGCTGGGAATGCTGGGGGTGCAGTTCAGTTACCAGTGAAGAGTCGGTCTTTCTGGTTCGAGGCAACAGCAAAACCAGTTTGTTCTGAAAGGTTCTGCAGTTAAAGTTTTAGTTTAGTTTCACTGAGTTTTCCGCTCTGGAACTCCTTCAGCGTGTGGAACAAGCGGCTGATAAGTTTCTGCTCCCAGACTCTTCCAAGGCCGAGTGGAGAAGGTGACTCAGCAGATTCCACGTTTGTTTGGTTCGTGCTGCAGAGAGACACAAACATGAGAGGGAAACATCAGAGAACACAAAGAGTAAATGTGACCAAAAATACCACAGGAGGAAACTTTAAGGAGCAAAAGCAGAAACACGAGGAAGAAGGAAGCAGAAACCAAACAGGGAGAGTTCAGATGAAGGCCTAAAAGTGCTAACTTTTAGCTACGTGAGCAGCTAAAAGGCTGAACCTTCTGCATGAAAGCCCAGCCACAACCCCCAGTCCCAGTCCCAGTCCCACCACTAAAACCAGAACCAGGCTCACTCCTCCAGGCTGCTCAGGAACAGACCTCTGGTTCTAACTTCGTTCACATTTTCTCCTCGTTTCTGTGGTTTCATCTGCCAGAGTTCTGATGTTCTCACAATCTCAGTTTGACGCAAGTCCAGACGTGTTTCTGACCTTCTGATTTCAAACCGTGATAAAGACCTGAGACAAAGATTCAATTCTTCTGTTCAGTCTGTAAATACGGTGTCTGTTCCACTGCAGCACAAAGACTTTCAAAATAAAAGACAAGGTGATTAAAACTTTGGCTTCTTTTTATTTTAGATAAGTTTAACTAGAAACAGTCTGGTCGTAAACTGACAGGACCTCAGCAAGATCACACCCGTAAAAAACACGAAGGGTCAAAAGTCCCAAATAAGCAGCTGATGATTCAGTTTAGTCTGAAAACAGATTAGTAAATAAAAGGTTCAGTTTCCAGGTTAAAGAGGACCGGCAACGTGGGACCACGGGGAGTTCTGACTGGTTATTACTGTTTAATAGACACCAGGTCATAATAAAACCAGGCAGAAACACAAAAGCAGAAGGATGAAATCAGGATTTAAGGACACGTCACGGGTAAAAATAAGCCGAGAGTCACAGGAGCGGTGAGTAATGATCATCCTAACGTCTGGGACAGAAAACAGGAAATAAATAAAACCTAAAAGAAACATTTTCACTAAAAACACTAAAAAGTTTATTATAGACTCAATTATTAGAGAAATGTATTAATAAACTATAAAACTAGAAAATAAATAAAAATAAATCATGATTCCAGGTCAACACATCACCTCTGAATCCAACTTTATCGACATGAACAGTAAAGCTGCTGGATCAGTAAACCAGCATTCACTCAGATTAAACGTTTTCTTGCAGCTCCCATCCACAGAGTCAACATGGAGATGGTTCAGGATAAAATCACCTGCAGCTCCAAGGACGTTTATCCAGAACCTGACCTCACCTGGGAACCAGACCCAGGACCTTCTACACCAGAACCAGCCAAAAGCAGGACTATTCAGCAGCTCTACACCATCAGCAGCTCTCTGAATAATCCAGATCCTAATCTGGATTACAGCTGCACCGTCAGCACAGCCAGAAGCAAGAAGAAAACCATTTTTTTTAAACAAGGTGGGTTTGATTGGTCAGCTGCTTCAGGAGATCATCTCCAGGTGTTGCTGAGGAGTTTGATTTGTTGTTTTTCCTTTAGATCATGTGACATCTTCAGGATCTGAAACAGCAGTCACCTGCCAGGATTTGAACTCTTCATCCACTCACGTCACCTGGTGGTTCAACCACACTCAGCACATCCTGACCAGGACACTCCCTGAAGGTCCAACCCAGCCCACGGAAAAATGGAAGCTGTTTGTAAAGGATGTGTCGGACACAGGAAGCCTCACGCTGACCGGTTTAACCTCAGATCAGGAGGGAGTCTACACGTGTGAAGTCAGCAACACGGAGGGGACATACATGAAGAACACAGCTCTTCATATTCATCACGGTAAGTCCAGATCAGGTCTGCTGGTGGGGCAGAACCACAAAATAAAAGCCTGGATTTGAACTGGTGGTACCAGATAAGAACCTTACAGCCTCCAGATGAAGCATCAGGATCAGTACCTTCATCAGAAACCTGGCATGTGCATCTCTGCTGCCCCCTGGTGGAGGATTTAAAACGGAAAGGGCCAATTTTATTTTTTATATAGTTGTTATGTTTTAGAATTACATAATTAAATAAAACTGATGATAATTATCTCAGCTTTGAAAACTATTTGATTAATCTTAGTCAGACGATAACCATGAAAAGATTAATTTTATAGTAAAAAATCTGATTTAAAAAAATCATAACATAAAGTTATTCAGTGGATTTGCAGGTCCAGGTCTGCAGACGGCTGATTTAGATGCAACACTGAGATGCTTGAATGAATAAAAATAGTTAAAGGCTTAAAATGCGTCATTTATCATTTATTCAGTGACTTTTCCTCATTTGCAGAAAGCCAAACAGCTGGAGTTATTGCTGCAGTCGTTTCAGTGATTGTATTAATTGGGATTATCCTGTTCGTCCTGTACAGAAAAGAGGTAATGAAAGAAAAAACATCAGGCTGTGATTGATTAGAGCTGATCAAGTTTATCCTACGCTGGTCTTTATTCTTAGTTTAGGCGTCCTGTACTGTATCATATGTTTGCTTTGTGTTTTGTTATTATCTGAAGCCACTGTGGTAATTATTTCCATTTCAGTTTAACCTCAGCTAAAACAACAATAAGCTACATCTGTTGGAAAGAAATCTGAAGAGAAGATTTTATTTTTTCTCCCATTTGTTTGTACTTGTTTAAAAATCTATTGTTTATTATTATTTTTGCAGAAACTGTGTTTTAAAAAGTCACCTGAAACGTCTCCTGCTGACCGCAGCCCAGAGGGGGACGAGCCCCTCAACCCCCAAACGGTGATCTAAGCTCAGCGACCCAGGATGCTAGTTCCCGGGATGTTTCACCCAAAAGCTGAAGAATAGAAGAGGGCTGGAACGAAAACAAACCAGTAAACCGAGACCTCGACCTTCTGGATTATCATCTTCACCACATCAGAGCAGACCCACCCGTGGACCTCCTGCCACCTCCTTTCCTCCTGAAAGGTTAAAACTCCCGATGAGCCTCAGGGACAACGATCCATCCTCGTGTGGTTGGTGTTAATGGTGCTTCTGGCAAAGCTTTGTATATTTTGTGTTCGTTTGTTTATAAAAATGATAAATTATTGAATATATATGTATGTAAGACTGTAAAAATAACTAGTGCCCCCACGACCCGACCCCGGAGAAGTGGAAGATGACGGCTGGCTGAATGGACAACAAAGGATCAGTCACTACTTACTGTGCATTATATTGTGTACTTACAGAATAATTAACAATAACAAAACTTGCATTCCAGCTTGAAAATCAGATCTCTGGAAAACAAAAAACCCGAAAAGCAAAACGAACCACCCACCCCCATCTGTCGGTGATATTAGATTATTCTCGTGGAAAATGAAGGAAAACACAAAATGGACTATTTATAAAATGCTACTGTAAATGTTTTCATCCTTTTTATTAAAACGGTAAACGACCTGTATTTGATATAGAGCCTTCTGGAGTCCTGTGTAACGTCCAGCAATGGTCCGTTTTTAGGTACTGTTTGACCCTTCAACATCTGGTCAAAAGGAGACGCGAGACTGCACGTGTTCCCTTTAAATCGGCCTTCCTCACACCAGCTGGAGCTCAGAGCCTGCAGCTCCGACAGAGATAACGAAATCATAGCAACACTCTCTCCTTCCAAGGTCCCTCACAGAGCACCCTTTTATCTAAGGCTCCTTGCTCACAGAAGAAAGAAGATTTTTAAAATTAAATGTGAACTTCTAAAATTTACAAGCTAGATAATCATTAAATAAACATTTTTTATTGCTACTTATAATAATTATAAAATAATGAAATGTTTCATTAATCTGTGCTCAGTGATAAATGTTTCAGCATGTTTGCTTGACAAGGTCGTAACATTTGCACTCACACAAGAACAAAGTAAGGTAAAGTTAAAGTCTATAACACATAAATAGCCTTTACCCAGATCAGAGCCTCCGGATCAAAGCAGGCGTGTTTCTGAGGTTCTTGGTAATATCCTCAAACTTGTCAACCTCTGGTTGGCTACACAACCATAACATGAGAACATAAAAGCCAGATCACGCTGGAGATTCTTCAGCTCTAGAGAAGATTCAGACCGGCCACCTGAAGCAAAAACCTCTTTGCACCTGCGCAGAGCCGTGTCCAGGACTTTTAAAATGGTCTGTTAATCTGTTCTATTTTGTTTTAATAAACCTTCGCTCACCTGCGCTCCAGCCTTCCTGTTTTTGATTCCCAGTGTCCATCAGCTGTGCAGCACCATTTTGTAAGTGGGTGATGCACAGAGTGCTCTGCTCTGTAAGATGAACACAACAAGCTCCTGGCTGATGATAGTCTCTGTCTCTGTGTCCAATGATGAAGCCTGTCTCCATTGTCCTATCACTAACCCATGGTGCTCTGGAGACAACCTGTCCATAAACACCTCAGAAACTGAAGACATGATTCTGGGCTTGAGTGAAAAACACAACAGTTACACATGTACTATATCTTTATACTGAGTATTTATTATATTATATTACATATGAGGAATATTTATTCTAAATAGAAACGTATTTTTTACTTTTGCCCATCAGAGCTCAGTGAGTGGAGAAAACAAGAGCGACGCCCTCTGGTGGCCTCATTAAGCATTACATGAAGCTATAATGACTAAATCAGCACCTTCCCAACACTTTTTATTTGCTTCTCAGAGCTGCTAAAAATAAAAGTAACAACATCAAAAGTTTCTATCACATTCTTTATAGAAAGTAAAATTTTTTAGTTTGTTTGAAGTTCATAAAGAATAAAACTGGTCAGATTTAGATTAAAAAACATCATAAAGAAAAACCTATTTTACTTGTTTTTCGTGGCTTTTGAAGAGACCACCTAAAATAATAAAAATATAACACGTTATGTGTGTTTTATTAGTCCCATTCTGAACACACAGGTGTGTTTTATTCTGCTCCAGCAGGTGGCGCTAGTGCACCTTTACGCTAGTCACGGACCCCGGAAGAAGCAGAACCCGGAAGCTGCAAGCAGAGCTAGCTTGTTGTTGTTGTGGTGTGTGTGAGGAGAATGTTGAGTAAGGTCGAAAATGTTTGAGGCTCTGCAGTGAAAATGTCTTCACTTCAGTCTCTGGGAGAGTTGATCAGCTAAAGCGACTAACTGCTGCTGCTGCAGAAATCTTCTCACCAGGCTGTGGGAACTTTCTTCTCCTCCTCAACAACTTGGTGGAGTTCTTTCCAGAACCAGAGAAGATATTCTGCGGTCTTCGTGACAATCGGAGCTCCAGAATCAGGTTGTGGGTGAGAAAAGCTTTTCTCTAGACTTCCTGCCCTCTGGATCTGCTGCTGGTCCTTTGGCCAGAACCAAAGCGTTGGATCTTTAATCTCCTGCGTTGTTCTGAAGCAGCATCTTAATCAGCTCTCCTGCTTTGTTTCTGTTGCAGCTGTTAGCTAAACACGGCTAAAGAAAACCTGCTACCACTTCAGGATCATCCATCAGCTGGGACTGATTCATCGTGTGTTCTTCACCACCTGGACCCGGACAGCATGGACACAGGTAGGGCTGCCACCTTTCAGATATGTAAATAAGTAAATGAGTTGGAGAAGTGGTTTTTCTCTTAGACAGCTGTGTTATTCACACAGGTGTGAAACATCTGTAAACGCCAGATCTGGTGCAGGAAAATGGCTGAACAGGAAGTAGGGACACACTTTTCCTTCTGTGGTTGTAAGTGATAATAACAATAATAATAATAATAACAGTAATAATAATAATACATTAAACTTGTATAGCACTTTTTAGGTCAGTCAACGAGGCTTAACAAAAAATGCAATAACACTTAATAGAACAACATGAAACATAGTAAACAGACTGGGGGATGCTGGGTTGATCTTAAGAGAAGGCCAATTTAAAGAAGTGGGTTTTAAGCAGTGACTTAAACGTAGAAAGAGAGACGGCATTCCTGATGTTTAGTGGGAGAGAGTTCCAAAGTGTGGGGGCAGCGGCTGCAAAGGCTCCATCCCCCATGGTGCCATGTTTTGTTCTGAAAGGGGAAAGGAGGTTGGAGTCAGCAGAACGGAGGTGCCGGGAAGGAGAATGACGATGGACTGATTATCTTTTTGATTTTAAAGTTGTGAAAGTATTCAGTATTTCCGTGCTGCAATAAATGGTCTGCAGTAGGGCTGCACGATATTAGGAAAACCTGAGATATTCGATAACAGTGCTTAATATTGCGATATCGATATTACTCACGATAAATGAACAAATACTAAAGTATGCAGTGTTGATGTCGTCTGGCGTGTGACGTCTGCTCTGGGTTCAAAGCAAACAAAACTAATGCATGAATTCCATTACAGCATAACATTTTTATTGCAAAAACATGCAGCTGCACCTGCTACTGTATTAGCAGCTGCACCCGCTACTGTATTAGCGGTCGCACCCGCTACTGTATTAGCAGCTGCACCCGCTACTGTATTAGCAGCTGCACCCGCTACTGTATTAGCGGTCGCACCCGCTACTGTATTAGCAGCTGCACCCGCTACTGTATTAGCAGCTGCACCCGCTACTGTATTAGCGGTCGCACCCGCTACTGTATTAGCGGCCGCACCCGCTACTGTATTAGCGGCCGCACCCGCTACTGTATTAGCAGCCGCACCTGCTACTGTATTAGCAGCCACACCTGCTACTGTATTAGCAGCTGCACCCGCTACTGTATTAGCAGCTGCACCCGCTACTGTATTAGCAGCTGCACCTGCTACTGTATTAGCATCTGCACCCGATACTGTATTAGCAGCTGCACCCGCTACTGTATTAGCAGCTGCACCCGCTACTGTATTAGCAGCTGCACCTGCTACTGTATTAGCAGCTGCACCCGATACTGTATTAGCAGCTGCACCCGCTACTGTATTAGCAGCTGCACCTGCTACTGTATTAGCAGCTGCACCCGCTACTGTATTACCATCTGCACCCGCTACTGTATTAGCATCTGCACCTGCTACTGTATTAGCAGCTGCACCCGCTACTGTATTAGCAGCTACACCTGCTACTGTATTAGCAGCTACACCTGCTACTGTATTAGCAGCTGCACCTGCTACTTTATTAGCAGCTACACCTGCTGCTGTATTAGCAGCTGCACCTGCTACTGTATTAGCAGCTGCGCCTGCTACTGTGTTAGCAGCTGCACCCGCTACTGTATTAGCAGCTACACCCGCTACTGTATTAGCAGCCACACCTGCTACTGTATTAGCAGCTGCACCTGCTACTGTATTAGCAGCCACACCTGCTACTGTATTAGCAGCTGCACCTGCTACTGTATTAGCAGCTGCGCCTGCTACTGTGTTAGCAGCTGCACCCGCTACTGTATTAGCAGCTACACCCGCTACTGTATTAGCAGCCACACCTGCTACTGTATTAGCAGCTGCACCTGCTACTGTATTAGCAGCCACACCTGCTACTGTATTAGCAGCCACACCTGCTACTGTATTAGCAGCCGCACCTGCTACTGTATTAGCAGCTGCACCTGCTACTGTATTAGCAGCCGCACCTGCTACTGTATTAGCAGCCACACCTGCTACTGTATTAGCAGCCGCACCTGCTACTGTATTAGCAGCCGCACCTGCTACTGTATTAGCAGCTGCACCTGCTACTGTATTAGTAGCTACACCTGCTACTGTATTAGCAGCTACAGTGATTTACAGTGACCTCCACTGCGGCCCTATGAGATCCCTTTCTCACGACCAGAGGTGCAAGCAAAATTTTCTCAGTCACGGCGGTAGCAGTAGTGGTACTGGGGTCGTCATCTGCGGGTTCATCGCCTAACATGGCCACGGATGGAACGACCGGAGAGGTGTTGTCGCTTTCCTTTGAGGTGTTGTTGTTTTCCTGTGAATCAGAACCTGTGAAAACATCAACCTGCAGCATTTCAGTCTCATTTTGCGGCTTCTCAGGCAAACACGGAGTCTCCTGAGAATCACACACAAATTCTTTGACGCCCTCAACGTCTTTCTGAAGATTGCAGATCATGTTCATCATGTTAGTCATCATTGGAAGGAAAGTGTTTTGCATCGCCGCCTGAAGTTGGGATTGTAATTGCATCGTTACCTCTGAGTCCATTTTCCAAAATAGTAAATAGTCTTTTCCTGTTTTATTTACTAATTTACACTTCGATTTTGCCTTCTAATTAGATGTTTTTTTTTTTTTTTTTTTTTTTTTTTTTTTTGCTTTTCTTCAAAAAGTATATTTTATTGCATTTTCAGTTTACTGTACACCTTTCACACATTATTATGTTGTATACTGAAAGTACATTCTGTATAAAATCTTAATGGAACAACAGACAACAGAACATTTTAACAATTTTGGTTGTGCTTCTGGCGATCCTTTCCAACGTTAGTGCATTTATAGTATTGAAGGCAATATTCACATAGACATGTTTAATAAAACTTTGAGTAAGAAGTCCCCGAATTACACCTTACTTTTGCTTCTCCCATTACAATCTAAATGCTGGTCAGAAGACCGATTATTTTCCTGCTCTCCCACTTTATAAGTCCTTAGCTTTTTATGTCCATCCTCTTAATATATGTTAGAAAAGGTGTCCATATTTCGTCAAATAAATGTTGCTTGGCCTTTAAGATATAAGTAATCCGTTCCAGCGGCATCACCTGTAACATCTGTTTCATCCAATCCTTCACAGTGGGTCTATGGAGCGATTTCCATGCCATAGCTATACACTTTTTTGCTACCATTAAACTAAGATCCAAAAAGACTCGCTGACACTTGCTATAAGCATACTCATTAGGGCAAAGTCCTATTAGAAACAATTTAGCATCCAATGGTACCTCCTTTTTGATAATTCTTTCAGTAGAAATTCTTACATCCTCCCAGAACTTTTTGATTTCTGTACACTCCCAAACACAATGATACAACGTCCCTTTATGAACAGCACATTTAACACATGTATCTGGTATATTGCTATTGTATTTCTTCAGTCTCTCTGGGGTGACATATGTCCGCATTAAATATTTATGCTGAATTAATCTTAACCTGGCATTAATGAACTTGGTATGAGCTCCTCCACAGGCCTTCTCCCAGTCCTCTTTACTCAGTTCTTGTCTGAGGTCGTCTTGCCATGCTGCTCTTCTATCGTTCGCTCCATCTGAATGATGTTCCACGATTATCCGATAACAGTCCGAGACTATTCCTCTTCGTGTGAAGTCCTTTGTCATCATTTCTTCCAACATGGTGATGGAGGGTTTGGAGTCCCCATTTTTTTGCTTAGACTTTAGAAAACTTCTGAGCTGGAGGTATTTAAAAAAATATTTCCTTTCTATTCCATATTTAGCCCTTAACTGCTCAAAGGACATCAAATGATCAGAATTTTGCAAATATAAGTCCTTAACTGATTTAATTCCCTGTAAATACCAGCTTTTAAACACGGCATCAGCTCTTCCTGGTGTAAATTGCTGGTTACCCCATATGGGACTGAAACAAGACAATTCTTGTTCTTCTGTAAGATGCTTTTTCACTGAGAACCAAACTTTTATCATATTTTTCACTATCGGATTCTTTATAGGTTTTAATAATTTCTTTTGTGAGTCAGAGTACACATACAAGAAGAATGGCAACTTTAGATCTTGTGATTCTAATTCCGCCCAGTGTGTGGGGTTTGTGGCTGAAAAGCAGTATGTAATAGTCCTTAACTGTGCGGCCCAGTAATACCATTTTAAGTTGGGGCATTTCAGCCCCCCTCTCTCATAGGGTAGATACAATAAGGAGAGTCTAAGTCTTGCCCGCTTGTTCTTCCAGATAAATCTAATGAATTCTTTCTCCAGCCTGGGGAATAGTTCCGTGGGGGGTGGCAGGGGGATGTTCTGGAATAGGTAGAGCAGTTTTGGGAGTACATTCATTTTTAAAATATTTATTCTTCCAATCAATGATAGTGGTAGATGGGCCCATCTCTCCATTTGTTCACTAATTTCTTTTAGCACCGGTGCATAGTTTGCTTCTGCTATCCGTTCTAGCCGAGGCATGATTTGTATTCCTAAGTATTCTATTTTGTCAGTTATTTTAAATTGAGTTATTTCTAACAGGGGATTTCTTCTCTCATCATCATTAAGCATCAGGATTGAGGATTTATTTTTATTAATTTTATATCCCGATATGTCACCTATTTTTTTAATTACTTCTAATAATACTGGGATCGATTTTTTAAGATTAGTGAGAAATAGCAGTGTGTCATCTGCGTATAGTGCTATTTTGTGTTCACTATTCGCAACTGTAATTCCTTTGATTTGGGGATTTGACCTGATCGCTATGGCCAGAGGCTCAATTGCCATAATAAAAAGCAGCGGCGACAGGGGACAACCCTGTCTACACCCTCTTCCTATTGATATTGGCTTTGAGACATTCCTGTTTGACAAAACCTCAGCCTCCGCATTTTTATATAGTAGTTTGACCCATTTTATGAAATTTTCACCACAACCAAACTTTTCCAAGACTTTGAAAAGAAAAGGCCATTCTACTTGGTCAAATGCCTTTTCTGCATCCAAGGACAATATCGCCGTGTCTGGTTTTTCTGTATTATAATGAATAATATTTAACACCCTCCTTACATTATGTAGCCCTTGTCTTCCTAAAATAAAACCATTTTGGTCCCTATTAATGATATTGGGTAGAATTGTTTGCAGTCGTTTTGCAAGCAGTTTGCACATAATCTTTAGATCTACATTTAA